TTCAAAAAACATTTTACACAGAAAACCTGTGTTATTTGGGTGGGGAAGTTGCCCTGGAGATGCAGGTTAAGCACTTAAGAATTTAGTAAACTGGTTACCAATGGGGCAGGGGAAGGTGGACAGCAGGGTGTGGAGAGGGAGCAATGGATTATGCTGGAAGACTATAGGTACCATGATGGTGGGTGTGGTGTGGTAACATACATCTAAAGAAATGCCATCCTATACCTCTGAATCATATATGTGTTGTAAACCAGTATTACCTCAATTTATAAAAGCTTAAATAACCAAAAATAAGAGAGATTCACCAAACCAAATGAAAAACATGATGCATCACTGACTGTATTTTTCTACATTATAATTTGTTCAAAATTGCACTTATATGTTGTCACTAAACAGTGTGATTAATAAGGCTTTATTATAAATGCCCTCTGTTTAAGAAAACAAAAACATCTTTAAATTCCTTTTCTCCATCTCATAATTTTAATTTAAATTTTTGTTTTAATGTATATGGTTTATTAATAAAATAGCTTATGCATTATAATAAGCATATGAATATTGAGGGGGGAAGATGTATAGCATTTTGCTTTTTTTTTTTTAAAGATTTATTTATTTATGCATACAAGAGCTGGGGAACAGGCCAGAGATGCGGAGTGGAGAGGTTGTGGTGAGAGGATTCACCAGAGACAAGAGTGGGGAACAGAACAGGCAGATTGACTGAAATACACTGGTGAGGGGAGCAGCGGGCAAGACAGGGGAGGTCTGCTGCGCCATGTGGGTTGCTCCCTGGCCAGGGATTGAACTGGTGCTGCAGAGGCTTCGGATTGCTTCCTGGTGCGGTGCTTCACCCCTTGCACCACCAGGGAGGCCCTGCTGTTTGTTTTTTAAGTACACTTCTGTTCTGGAATTATTCCCTACTTCTGAGGTAAACCTGTCTATTGGTTTATCCTGATCTTTTTAGGTCATATTGCCAATGTTCTTCAAAGAACATTACAATGTTGTTCATGCCTATTTAAGCTAGAATTCTGAATGGATTTGGGGTATAGCTTGTGACTGTTTCCATGCAGGTCTGTTTAGCTAGGTTGCTCCAGTGGACACTAACACTCTCTGGCATCTGTGAATAAATGGAGTTTGTGAGCTGGTGGCTTTCACTTGAGGGTGAGTAAGATGTGGAGCTCAACATTAAAACATGGTAAGGATGGGAAACCCAGAAGAGGGAGCAGCAACTCCAGTATCTGATTTCTCCCCAGGCAGTTCACTGAAGTTATTCTTGATTTTTACCTGAAAATTAAATGTTGGGATGTTTTTGCTGTGGTTAAAGGGGTAACAAGGGGGTGGGAATGATAGAAGGAATGAAGAGTGTGTGACATTTGTTCTATTGAATATTAACAAATACTAAATAAATCTACTAATCTGAAGCTCCCCTTTCAACTTACAGCACCAATTAATCTGATATCTATGCTTAAGTATCTGAAAGGTACTTAGTGGCAGCGTTTCCACCATACCCTCCCACTTACTGGGCAGGCTTTGATGTCCAAAAGCTGACTACTATTTTCTTTCCATTTTCCAAAAACATCTTAGCTGCTCTTAGATCACTCCCTTTCTCTTTACTTTTATGTGAGCTCAAGTGATATGAAAATTAAATGCTTAGGTTTGGGCAGCCACTGGAAGAGGAGGCACTTTTAAATTGTAATTGGTTTAAGTTTATATATATATTTTTTAATGTCCACAGTCAAGTTCTTACCACAGAATCTGATTTCATCCTGGGGCATCCGTCTCTGTAAAATCCTCAATGAGTCCTCTAGACAGAAACTATAAACTGTCATGAGGGAAGAAAACATGACTGTCTCCATCTATCTATCTGTCTATTTTTCTACCTCTATGTACACATGTATATATTAATTTATTTAATCACTGTACCACTAGAACCTAGCACAATGTCTGGAATATAGTAGGGTCTCATAGATAATTTGTGTAAGGTCATGTAGACTGTATATTATGTATAAGTTAATACTTAAATAAATGAGTGGTAGTCAAATGCTTTCATTGACAACCCTCTTAAAGTTATAGGAAAAAGTCTAGAGCCATCTAAAGGATATAAACTGCATTTTTTTTTTTTGCCTCTCAATACAGAAAAATAGCATCTTCTGGTCAGAACTGAAAGCATTATGTAGGCAGTAAGCACTGTATTGCTGAAGTCCTAAGCGGATATTTTCTATACTTAGAGTTTAATGGTGAAAGAATAATACAAAGCACTGAATGAACAAGCTGTATTCAAATAATTTAGTACCTGATTGTTGCAAGAGTTCCCAACTCTTGTTTCTGATTCCCTAATATCTGAATTATCAGGTAATCAAAGTTAATAGTCAACAATTCACATTGCCCACAATCTACACCCTTGTTCCCTGAAATTTTGTCTAAAGGAGAAAAATTCAGACCTGTTATTAAGGGCCATCATTCCTATTTTACTATTATTCTTAGATTCTCTTACAGGTATCATTTCTTAAAGTAATCCGGATGTGATATGTTCCTAAAAGGACTGTTCAAAACCGCACAGCAGCAGGTTACAAACAGACTGGTTAGTCCATATTAGAAAGGTTGACCTAAAAAGTCATTAACTTAGTTAATTATTACACTCACAAGTATAAGTGGCTTACTCCCCTGATCAAGACAGCAAACGTGTATGTTTCTTCTCAGAAGTGGCATCACTTATTTCTGTCCTCCACACTGGCACCATCTTGGTCTCTTTCTATAGTCTCAGGCCTGATTACTCAATTCCTTGTAGGCACAACTCTTTACTAGATCTTGCCCCAATGGATTAGATTACATATTTCAATTAATTCAACTGCTTAACTTAAATGCAAGATTCAATGCATGGTTTCTCTTTTGTATGGAGAGATTTATATTAATATTCAGATTAATATTTATAAGCTAAGACAAGAGATGCCCAATTTTTGCCAGTTGGCAATAGCAATATGAACGGCATTTTCCTTGAACATTTAGTTGACCTTGATTTTGAGACAGGCACATTAGACAGGGCTCACTGCTAATTCCTGGGGTGTGTGAGTGTGTGGGGGTGTGTGTGTGTGCACATATGCATGTTCGTCTGTAATAACACTATACATAAATGATTATATTGCATGTAAAGGCTGTGTTTGTCATTCTGATGCCATTTGACCAAGTTATCTTTTTTTGTTGAATAGTTGAACACAACTAACTTATATCACTATATCTGGAAGAAATGCACTTTGTACATTAAATTGTACTTCACAGTGTAATTATTCTTTATAGCTTATTTCTCAACAGAATATAAACTCTATAGGGGAATGGAACATATTTATCTTTTTTGAACCTTACTCATGGAAAATACTAAATACTTATCTGCTAGTAAATCTATAAACCATCTCAGCTTAATAAAATTATTAATGACAGAAATAGTATATACATATACATTAAGTAGTTACCTACCAAATGTCAGTGCCAAGATCTGAATGTTTGTGTTCCACCAAAATTCATATGTTGACGTGCCACAGGCCAAAGGTAAGACAATTCGGAGGTGAGGTTTTGGGGAGGCACTCAGGTCAGGTTGGAGCCTTCACAAAAGGGATTAGTGCTCCACTAAAAGATACCCCACAGAGCTTCCTAGTCTCTTCTACCATGTGAGGAAACAGGTAGAAGGAGTAAACTAAAATTCAGGAAGACCTTTGCTGAACCACTGCACTGAATCTTGATCTTGGAATTCCCAGACTCCAGAACTGTGAAAAATGTATTTCTGTTGTTTATGCCCAAGTGTGTGGCATTTCGTAATAGCAGCCTGAATGGATTAAGAGAGCCAGGAATAGTATTAAATGTTTAATTTAAATGTGTAACTGATAAACTGAACAAGCAAATACATGGGACATAGTTAAGGTGCTGTGAAATTTTAAATTCTTTCTCCCTCTGCCCTTTCAATTTTATTCAATCTTTCCCTGCCCACTGAAACTCATAATACAGAATCCTCCTCCTCCTAAGAAATCTCTATTGAACTCACTCTTCTCACCCCACTAAAGTACAAAAATAGCTCTTTCGCCTTTTTCTTGCATATTATATCCACAAATTATTATTTTGCACTCATCCTCATATTAGATACCTATGGTGTAAGAACGACAGGCAAAATCAAGATAGAAAGAATGCTAATTTAACATCCTATTTTGTATGAATCATTTCATTCATGCCACTCAGCAACTGTATAAAGTAGGTAGTCTTATCTCCATTGTACCAATAACAAAGCTGAGACCTAAGTTAAAACAACTTCTGCAGGATCACTTGATGCTGGAAATTAATATGGCTGGTTTCCAAGAGAGCCTTTAGTAGGTAGGCAATGGTGGGTTAGGTAATAAAGGCATGAAAAGATATCACAGATGACTGAAATGGGAAAAATGTCTGTTACACAGATTAAAAATCCTCTCTTTATAGCGAGTGTTTCACTGTACAAATTTTGAGTTTGGATTGGTTTAAATATTAGAACAAGACAACGATGGCTGGCGTATACTCAAGACAGTTACTGAGAAAGAGATTATGAGAGAAACAAGGCTGCGTGTATGAATAATGGCACATGTGATGTCCCTGGATTTCCACAGAGAAATTTAACTCGAAAACCCCAACTTCAGAGATAACCCATGCCACTAGCGATGTTTTTTCTTCCATAAATCTGCTGTCACTGTAAATAATCCAGACAGATGACCCCACATGCATTTAGTTCACATCCACCTCGGCTAGTTAACATACAAGAAATTTTCTTTTCCTCCTCTTTGAGAAGAAAACTTTCAGGATCCACTCTCTGCACCTTCCCAACACGGAAAGGCAGTGCTCCCCTGGGGTCCCCCGTCCTCATCACAAGCTGCATCTCCACATCCCGGCACACATGCGCCCAGGAGCCGGCCCGGGCGCACCCCCAGGCGGCGCGCAGGAGCACCCCCTCAGGCCCGGCGCTCCAGCGGGCGCGGCCGGCGCCGCCCCCTTACCTTTCTCACTGACGCTCTCGCTCTCCAGCTCCACGTCCTCGCAGCTGGTGTACTCCGGCGTCGACACGCCCTCCTCCTCCGAGCTGCTCACCGACATCTGCCGCTTCTTGCCGCCCCGCTTGGCGCGGTGCGGCTTGGGCGGCGACGGGCGCACGGACTCGGACTGGTCGGAGCTCAGCGAGTCGTTGCGCAGCATGGTCTCCACCTTCTCGCGCTTGGCCTTCCGCAGGAGCACGGCCGAGCCGGGGTCCAGGCGGCTCTGCTTCCTCAGCGGCTCCTGGGCTTTGGGCTCCGGCGCGTCCGCGGGCACCGGCCCATGCCTGGGCGCCGGCGGGCTGAGGTTCGCCAGCGGCTTGGCGCCCGGCGGCCTGCCCTCCGCCGTCCTCTCGGCCGGGTACGCCCGCGGGGACTCCGGCGGCGAGGCCCTGGCGGCGGGCGGCGCGCGTTTGGCCGCCTTCTCGGGCGGCGCGGGGCCCGCCTCGGTGCGCGGGAGCGCCACGTCGCTGTGGCGCCGCTCGTGCCGGGCGCGGGACACCCGGGCGTGCATGCGCATCTGCTGCTCCTCGGGCGGGGGCTTCACCGGGTACCGGGCCAGGTTCGGGTCGCTGCGATACCGGGTCTGGTACTCCTCCTCTTTCCTCTGTTTCTCCTCAGCCGCCTCGCCGGCCTCGCGTTTTTCCGGCACGTCGGGGCGGTCCTGCGACCTCCCCTTCTCAAGTCTCCGGCCTTCCCGCCTCTCTTTTCGCTCGCGCTCGTCCAGGGCCCCCTCGCCCGGCTGCGCCGCAGACTTTGGCACCCGCTTCCTCTCGCCCTTCGGGGCTCCTTTGCCATTCTGCTCCGGGAGGCCCGGCGTCTTCTTCCTAGGATACACAAAGGAGCGTCAAGACGGAGCGCAGTGTGAAGTTTTTGCCTTCGCGTTCCGGATGTAACTCCTTTTGAATAATTGGCTCTAATGCGATCTCTAATTAAAAGCAAGATAAAGAAGCATAGTGAAACCATAGAGCTGATGAGCTTTCTTAAGGAGGACCCTTTGGATTGCAATATATTCAGAGCTGTGAAAACTTGTTTGCACATTTAGAATGCTCGATAAATTAGATCAATAAAAATAACCAGTTAATTCCATAAACGAACACGTTTTATCATCTGCTTGTGAATCAGACTTAAATGTTGGCGATGAAAATAATAAAAATAGTAGTAACAGGCAAAAAAGACTACACATCAGTGCAATACTAAATATGAAGTTGAAAGGTATACCTACTTCAATAGAACGAAAGTAATTTTAAGGAGATCGTCTTCTCCCAAACACTTTTTTTATTTTTAAGGGATTGGTTGGGGGAAATGAATAACAGCTTTAGCTTTTGTTTGCCCTCATTGATCAAAAATGGAAAATTTGAAATATTATTCATTTATCCCGCCTCCTTCTTGCACCCTCCTTTCAGAACACGGTTCGAAAGAACACAGTTTTGTGTTCTCTTTTTATCGCTCCTGTTAAGGCACTGGCAAAGATAAAGGGAAAGGAAAGGGGTTTGGCAATTTTTGACTGTTTTCATTCACTGGCCCTTTCAGCCCTCCTCTGCACACCAGAGCGCTCCTGATTTTGAATTCAGCCCTTTCACCATACCAGCAGTTCCAGCAACCATACAGCAGTTACAAAAATTAGGTGCCTTGGCTAAGCATTCTGACACTATGATCTAGTATACAATTAAAAGAGAGGCAACCTAAGCCTCCTTTTGGAATCTGGAGATCCATAGAAAGAACTTTCCAGAAAGAATATCATTTCACTGGAAGTCCAAAAGCAAACATCATGAACAAATACAAGAAAAATACAAGGTGAAAAAAAAAATACCAGTAGGGTAATTTCTATTGTGGGTTAACAAATTAGTTACTAAGATGTGCTGTGGAGTCACAGATGCTGGTGATGATGGAAAGAAAGGGTAAAAGGGTTTCACATGGTATAGGAAGCAAAACAGAAGTATGGTCAATTCTGCTTCAGGCATTTATATCACACAGGCCCTTGGAAGTAAAAGGGATTTTCATCAGAAGGTGGCATTGCAATTTTACAATGTAAAGGGTTCTAATATGAACATGTCCATCATTATCACATAGTTTTCATAAAAGTGTTATGATTGTACTGCAAACATTTAGTAGCTCATAAAGACATAGTTGCTCTTCTTAGAAGTTTATATTGAGTCAGTTCACTTTAGTTGAAATGCTGAAAAATATTGCTTACTGTGTAGAGTTCATGTGAGGATTAAAGGAAAAACATCTGTGAAAATGCTTTATGAAAGCATGGAGTGTTATGCAAATTGTAGTTCCCCAGTCTCTCTGATCCTTTGCTTCACTAATGATACCTTTACTCAACTCTACCTTTAATCATTAGATTTTTCACTAGGTCCTGATAAGTGTACACAGTATGATCAAGATTTCTTCAATAATTTAAAAGACTTCCATTCTTTCCATTACACTTTCCTCTCTGAAGTCTCTCCCTTACCTCCACCCATTTCTCTTCTTTCTCCCACACCCACCCCATTGTCCTCATTGTTTCCTGAAGTGTGTCTATGTATGTGTGTATGTATATATATATATATATATGTGTGTGTGTGTGAAAATATATATATACACACATGTGTGTATATAATTTATCTAATCAGTAAGGTATTTGCCCTCATCAGTCTTTTTCAAATTTCATCTAAAGGTAAAAAGAAAACTTCTCTTTTTATTCCTTATTCCTGAATTTTCCTTAGTTTTCCACTGTATGTCAAAAATAAGACTCATTTTCTATTTTCTATTTATTCTCCATTTTATTTAAAGATTTCATTTTCTGACTAGTCCCAAACTACCTTTAACATTTTTTATCTCTTCTTAACCCACAATTTGTCACCAACTACTATTAATTCTACCTTCACTGAGTTATCTCTGGTGTCTGCTCTGTCTCCTCCCTGCATGGTTTGAGAACTCATTCTCCCTGCCTATGATAGCCTCTTCTATTCTTTTCTACCTGCCGTACAATTCCTGGCTATCCCAAAAAGCTTAATGCAGAAGTCACCTCCTCTTCCCTGCAGCTCCCAAAGTACTGTATGCATTTTCCAGCTTTGATCAAATCAGCCTTTCTTTAAAATCTTTCATCATGTTATATGGGATTTGTTTGAAAAGGGAGGAAATACCTTCTTTGGAGACTACTCTCCCACCCAGTGGGATAGTGGATACACAAAAGCAGTTAATCCTAGTACTAGTGATGGTCAGGCCCCCCAAAGCACCATATTCATGAAGAAAAGGGCTATGTCCTCCCTTTCGACACTGTTTTCCAGTCATGGTGTTCTATCTGTTCATACATGTTTTTAAAATGAATGAAGTCAATCGATCAATTGAAGTAAATTATCTGATCATGTTATCCAGTGCTTAAAATCCTCAGTGGTTTTCGATTATTCCAAGGATAAAATCTATAAACTGTAACCTGGCCGAAAGGTCCAGTATGATATGGGCCTGGGCCGTCACCAACCACCTCTCCCATTCTCCTCTGCACTCTGGTAGGGGGCATCCACCAGGGCCTTGTTGCTTCAGGCCTCATGCCTTTGCATATATATACCTGCAACATCCATCCCACTCTTCACCTTGTTCATTCTTAGCTACTCCTCATAGCTCAGTGTGAAAGACATGTGCCAAAGAAGGCTTTGCTGATGTACCCACACACCTTCCAGTAGATCAGACTTCCCCATCAGTTCTCTCTGAGCACACTTTCAATTAAAAGACTAATTCTGTAAGTGAAGAAATAATGTCAGATCTTTTTTGAGTTCATTTTGGAAGTTAGAAGTTGTCATATGAATTAGGCAGGTGACTTGTCTACATCTGCAAAGGATATGAAAGAAAAACTGCTCAACAAGGTTCCCAATGAATGAAAGAGTCTAGAGATAGAAAAAGCACCTCAGGCCCGGTGGTGCTGCCCTGCGGGACCTAAAAAGTACTACCTCCACATATTCCTCTTAATAGCAAATAAATTCTTGAAAATGACTTTGCTCTCAATATAGGACCTTGTCTTTTGTTCACAGGGTTAATGAACTATTACCTCTCTCTTGGAGGTTCACTTCTAGACCTGGATGAAGCCTGCTTCTGGTCAGGCCCCACGGCTTGCTGTGAGGGCTCAGCCCCTTTACTCCTGTCTGGTTGTGCCCTGGGAGGGGCCGTGTCCTGGGAGGAGGCAGCTGCTGTGCTCAGGGGTGTCTGAGACCGCGATCGCTCTTGGAGTCGTGCTTTCTTTTCTCTTGGTACCTCAGAACCAGCACCTGTAGCTGTGTCACTTAGGGTTCCATCCTGACTTGGCTGCTGAGGGCCGCTTCCAAAGAACCACGCCCCAGATTTGGTTAAGATTTCTTGTTGCTTTCGACATAAATTGCATACCCACATAACCTATTCGAAGAAGAGAAAACAATATAAATTTTCTAGGCTAGTTGGAAATATTCCCACCACATTAAAATACCTTTTAAAGAAAAAAGAATCATTGTCATCTTCATATTTATCATTGTACATTGTGGAAATGATGGTGGCACAAGTCATAGTCAAGTATATTAATGCCTGATGTGGGACCCATCTGAACTCACAGTGCCTCTTGGTAGCCAGAATAGTCTGCTGTTAGCATTTCGAATCCTACAATTCTGAGTTTCCCTTTACTATGTGTCTATCATGTTTTGTATGACTGCCTCTGAAGTTTTATTTGAAATACCTTTTAGTAAAAAATGTTCTATGCTGGGTAGTGGAATGTTTGGAAAAAGTTGTAAGAAGCTCTATAATTAAATGTTGTCTCAAAGGATTTAAAAGGTACCTTTCTTCCCCCAAATCATCCATTGCCAGTATTAAAAGCCAGTATAAAAAGTATATTAATACGGAGCAAAAAACAATAACAGATAAGCACAGAAGAACAGGTCAAGTTGTATATTTTCTCTAGTTTATTAGTAATAAACTAAGGTCAAGTTCATTTTATGAGATGAATATAATTTTCTATGAACACATTTACTGATGCTGGGTTATCCATATGTGACAACTCCAGTATAGTTTCCACTACACCATATTTGGAAATAGTCCTTTGGAAATATATCCACTGTTGTCCTTTGGAAATATATCCATTAATTATAAGATGTATCACCACTTCAATATATTTGCTTTCCTCTAGGTGACATTTAACATGATGGCACTAATGAGGATGACAGTAATAGAAATAATAATAATAATAGCAACAGCCAGCAAACACAAAGCTAAAACAGGCACCTATTGACCCAATATCCCAAGTACCTCTGCTTCTTTTTAAATATCCCAAGTACCTCTGCTTCTTCATGACATGATTTTACCTAACTGCCTCAGTTGCTTTTCTCTGAAACATCTCAGATTTCCTTTAAATTTCAGAACAGCACCCTCTAGGAAAGTGTGATTACTAAGCTCTAGGCCCTTGTTTTCACAATAATGACTTGGTCAACAATTACTAAAAAATATCATACAAGGATGAATAAATCTTACATAAGTGAGAAAAGATATAAGATAGTAAAAGAAGAAGCACTGCTTAGTGGACAAAAAGAAGAAAAGCTACTACTGTAAACATTTAGAAGAACAAGAAGAAAAGTATGACGGAAGCCATAAAATAACACAAAATGAAAGCTAAGATTAGAGTAAGAAAAAGAGGGAGAAGGGCCTCCCTGGTGGTGCAGGGGTTAAGTCACAGCCCTATTAAGTTATTGCTAGCCACTGCAGCATGAGTTCGATCCCCAGCCAGAGAGCTTGCCCACATGCCCACATGGCCGCATGGCCACATGGAGCAGCAGACCTCTTCTGTCTTGCCCGCACATATTAGTAGATTTGTCCGTTCTGCTCCCCACTGTCTCTGGTGAATCCTCTTACCTCCGTACCTCTGGGCTAGACCCCTGTTATTGTATGAATAAATAAATAAAAATACATCTTTAAAAGAAAAAGAGTGAGAAAAGTACATTTTTAAAAGGAAAATATTGCAGATAAACTGTTAAGAAATGCAGCTTTCTAAGGACTAAAAGTGAAATGAATTAATATGGGAAAAACTACATTTGAAGGAAATATTTTACTTTAAAATTAATGTAGCTTAATTCATTCCTCTACACCTTCCTATGTCTTAAAATGTAGTGGGTCACAAAAAACATGTAAGTATAGCATCTACATAATGTATTATAATCAGTGTCACAGAATTTCAATTTATGAAGCTGTACAACAAAATGAACAATGCATTGCATAAGCCTAATCAAAATAAAGGAGTTGCCGAATAAGCTATGTTCTGCACGATGTATCACCTTCTGTTTGATGTCACAAAGAAAAGTTGCTCGGAAGTCCTGACTGAACATGAGCATATCAGAGACAGTAGTATAGGCCAATATCCTAAAATCAGGAACTCTATGCACAAAGACACTGATTCTCCTCTGCCTAGACCTTGAGTGGGGACAAGTATGTGCTTCCTCTCTCTTCGCCTCTTTAGATGACAAAACAGATAAGAAGATCAGAAATCTTATAGTTCAAGGTGAATGGTGGGAAATTTTACTATTTTACATCAACTGAGCAGATTAAACTTGTCTTTAATACACTAAGAAACAAAACATTACTTAAGTTATATTTAGGGTAAATATGTATTTTCTTCAAAAATCATCCAGAAAAACACAGTAAAATTTGTAATTATTCTAAAAATTCCAAAATGGAATTAAGCTGAACAAAAAGGCAAAAAAAAAAAGAAAAAACAATCAATCTTAAATTGATTGTTTCACATTTTTAAGTGTTACAAAAATGGGTTACTGAAAATAAATTTAGAGATTTTTGTCAAGTTCCAAATTTTAACTGTTTGTAGAATTGCCACAGGTTAATAAAAGCAAATGATAAACAGTTATTAATTATAGCATTTAAATTTTATAATTCATTTAATTGTATTTTAAATGTATTCAAAAAGTTACAGCTAGCGGGTAAGTAGAAGCAGTTATTTTAATTAATTATATATTTTTAAAATATTATTTATTCATTTCCGTCTAAGATGATTCATTAATTTTGTCTGTTGTTAACACTTAAGGAAAATATTGTTTAATTCCAGAATTTTCTTATGTCTTATTTCCTTGTGCACCACAATTTTAGATTTCTATTTCAAAATTAATTCTAAGTGTAGTCAGTTGCTCCTCAACTTTGAAAGCAAAAAAAAAAATAAGTCAAAATATTTTTAAGACTAGCTCTCAATTTCTATTGTTAGTTATATAAATTATTCTTGCTACATAGTTTAAAAATAAAAAAGAAATTGCTTATTTGAATTATAAAGAAAAATATGCAACACCATCATACTTTCAACAGAGTTCCTTATCAAACATCACAGGCATGTATAAAAATTTCTTAAACAGTTGCTCAGATACAGTTATGTATGTTTTAAGATTTTCTTTGTGAATTTAGTATTAAGTATTGTGCTTGTGTAGAGATTATATAAAAGGGGAGTGGGAAGATTTTCTTACCTGACTTTTTTAAAGGAGGATAATTCATAACTATTTTTACAAAAAAATGCTATTTATTTCACATACACACTTACACACACACACACATCTTTAAGAGACTATGCTCTGCAGTATTATAACCTGGTTAAATACCCTGGGGGGTGTTTTAAAGTAATATAAACTAAAGCAGTTCTGTAAAAACTCACTTCAACAATTTACAGACATGGAGAAAGCAAATAAGAACTCAAATTAAAGATTTTTGTGATGTTACATGGGATGGCATGACTGTAGCATACATCAGAAACATGGGAAACATCTGAAAATATTATTCTGACCTTTTGCTCTAACAGCATTTTATATTGCACCTTTTCTACTTAATGAATTATTCATTCATCTCTCCATCAATCTATCAAAAGAAGTCCATGGATAAAACTGGAAAAATTATTTTCAAGTAGGAGAGAAACCTTATATTTGCCTTCACAAGTAATGTTTGCAGACCCAGACAAAATGAATGTTAAGTACTAAGGTGATTCATGACAATAAAGTATAGAATTCTTTTTTAAATGGATTTTCTTTAAGAAGAAAATCCTCACATATAGGTATATATAACTGAATGACACAACATTGTTTTCAGGTGTGTAACTTCACGCTTTGACAACTGTAGATACACACCATCCCCACCACCAAAGATCTCTTCACCCTTCACCACTCTCTAATCAATTCCCTCTATCTGTACCATTCATGTACACCCAGTCCCTTTCCCTTGATGGTTGGCAAGGATGCAGAGAAAAAGGAGACCTTGTACACTGTTGGTGGAAATGCAAATCGGTGCAGCAACTATGGAAACAATATGGAGCTATCACAATGAAAAAAGTAGAATTAGCATATGGTCCAGCTATCCCACTTTGGATATTTATCTGAAGAACATGAAAACACTAATTCCAAGTATATTTGCCATATCATATTCATTGCAACACTGTTCACAATAGACAAGATAGGGAACCGACCGAAAAGCCATGGAAGGATGATTTGTGAAATATGTGGTATATATCACACACAAGGGAATACTAATTATTTATGAAAAATAAAAATGACATCCTGCCATTTATGGCAGCATGGGTAGAACTTGAGGATATTATGCTATATGAAATAAGTCAGAAGGAGAAATATGAATATTTAATTTCACTCATATGAGGAAGAAGAAACAAAACAAAACTCTCAGATTCTAAAAACAGAATGGTGGTTACTAGAATTCTTACATTAACACAAGTATTTTGCTTATAAGTCACTTGAGATATTTAGTATCTAAACATAAAGGATAAGTATAAAAAGCTGTGTGTGTGTTATGTATATTTATCAGTTGAATTAACAGTATTTTCTTAACATTTTATTTATTAACCCTGTGACAATAGTTTTCATATTGTTAGTTACCATACGTTAATTTTTTCTGTCATGTTTTTCATTTTAATATAGTCTAATTTCTTTTTAATTCTTGTGTTATGCTTTATGAGGTAGGCCTCTTGTTTTTGTTTCTGTAAATATCTAAGATGATTATTACTTTGTTCTGTATAGGTCACGGCATGTCAGGTGCAGCAAAGAATACTGAATGATGGTGAAGGAAGCACGCTCAGTGTTCTTCCAGCTTTTTGCTGTGCTATCTAGGATAGTTTATCATCTCTCTGTACTTCAGTTTACTCATTCATAAAATAAAATATACAGGTTAGCTTTATAGGATCTCTGTTACAATTAAACAAAGAATATACATAATAGAAAGCACTCAACAAATATCAATGATTGTAAACACATAAAAATTCACTGCAGATACGGTCTTGAAAGTAGAGGCAAATATTCTATCTTTTGCTATATAAAGTGCTACAGTCTACACTTTTTTTTATTTCAACAATATATTTTGAGGGTCTGTTCTAGGTGCTGGGG